TTTGGGGAAGAAGCACAAGACTGTTTCTTTGCATTTTTTTTCAATCTGATAATTTAATGGTAAATATTCTGAGCAAAATTCAGCTCTGTCCATATCTTGAATTGTTAATGGACTCTTTATCATGGAACTGCATTTTGGCAGCAGATTTCTTGGGTTATTAAACAGTCATAGTTCTTGTAGCCTTTTGCAGGATAATTAGTCTCAATAAGGGAAGATATATTGAAAGACAATGGAGGATTTCGTACAAAGTCTGAGCTGTGGTTTTAAACTGTTTTGTACTACAGGCCATTAGCATGCCCATTTTCTTTCTCTTTCTCCTTTCAGGGATCTTAGAGTGTTATTCTTTACTGCATTAGATTTATCCTTTTTTGTGTATCTACTCAATGTTTATCTTCTCAAGAAAAGCTGCTATCTACAGATTATTATTTTCCATTTGCTTTTTCATGCGCTTAATAAACGGGTTAGTGGTAAACTCTGACCATAGGCACTACAGCTTCAAGAGCATGACCAGCACTCGCAGACCATGGCTCCTAGAGAGACTGCACTCAAGTGTGGGATGTGCTGGTACCTACTAGATACAGCGCTTCTGCCATACGCAGGTCTCTTTTATTAGCTAAAATTAACTGGGATGTGTTTCTGGCACTGTGCTGCGGCTGTTTCCAAAGTGACAGCCTCTTCTTTTGCACCCTCAGGAGATCACCTGAGAAATGGTTCATCATTTTCTGATTGCTGCCTCCTTGCCTTCCCCAGCCTGTGGAGTGCTCTCTGCCGTGCACCCCTGAAATGACAACCTCCCATTCCCAGGGGCAGGAAGGGAAGAGTTTTTCCTGTCAAGTGCTACTTGCTCATTTTCAACAGGCAGGACACCAGCCCCTCCCTCTCCTGCTGGGTATGAGAGACCCACAATGCTCAAAAAGCCAGGAAAAACCATGTCCTTCTGACCATCTCCCTGTATCATAGTAGAGCTGGTCACCAACGCCTCTTTAATGACATAACAATGTATGAACCTCACATGGTTATGAATATCTCATTTGTATCTGTGGCTAGTCCTTATTAATCACTGTATAATGCAGACAAACTGCTTTCTCTTCTCCAGCATAAAACTTACTTTCTGTAAATGGACCACAAAGTTTAAGAAGGTATTAGTACCTTTTTTGGCCAATTCTGCCTCCAAAATGTGGAGTGGGGTGAGCATGGCAGGAACATCTTCCTGCAGACTTCTGTCCAGGAGAACAGGCGATTTCTGGAGCACCACTTCCAACATATATTGTGTTGTTTTCCAGGTACTTCACAGTGCTACTGGGGTACTCAAAGGGCTCACCAGACCCTACAGACAGCCTGGTATCTTGGATTTTATTTTTACTATTTCTCATTTTCAAGACTAATTCACACAAACTGCATTAGAAGGTCATCAGCACAGTCTGAAATCTACATACTTGGGACTACTCACACGGATTTGCAGAATGCTCCTAGTAGACAGTAAAAAGGTTTATAATGAAAAACACCCTAAAAGACTTCCAACTTCTATTGATATTTTTCTCAAGTCAGTTGTTCATGTCTCTATTTCCGTATCACTGGTCACATTTTAGAGGAAATTCTGCTAAATATGTGTTAAATGAGGCTAAATATTCTGCTAATGATGGATCAAATACCTCTAACAAATGCAACCAGTGTATTCAATGAAGATCTAGGTATGACCATGCTGTGCACCTTAGCTTCCTTTCAACTCCTCTTCCTGTTCTCATAGTTAGGCTGGAGCACTGGGGACACACTCTTCGCCAACCAACATCTCAAAGGTCTTGCTGGGGCCAAGGTGTATGTCAAGTTACAACCGGGCATGAGGCACTGACTTTAAGTATAGATTCAAATTTCCACTGTTAGGTGCAGGAGCAATGTGAATTTAGACTACCAAGAAAATATAATACAACTTAAAGAAAAAGTAAACCTTAAAAATAAAATTAAAATAGTAATCTTAACGCTAACAGGAGACAAGGGTAATAACTGAAATCTAATGAGAAAATACAGTCATTTTCTCTGCATGCTGTGTTAGAGCTTCTGAAAAATGTGCTTAGTGACTAAATTACATTTCCTGTTTTATAGCCCTTATAAACCAGCTATTATGAAGGGTTGGTGTGTTTATGCACTGGAAGACATTAGGCCTAAAGTCAGGAAATAGTGGTTCAGCTTCCTGCTCCGGCAGTAGTGGCTGTGCTATGGCTCTGGCTCTCAGG